CGCGGGGGTGCCGGCCCAGCTCGTGCAGCACGGTGTGCTCGCAGTACTCCAGCACCAGGTGCAGCCGACGCTTCCTCCGGAACACCTCGAGCAGCCTCACCAGGTTCGGGTGCTTGAGTTGCTGCAACACACGGGGGTGGGGGCGGGCTGGTCAGGACTGCACAGGGGGAACGGATCTGTGCTGCAGGGTCACGGTTCCTTCAGCTGAACCCTTTCCACAAGCACAGCTCAGCTACAGCTCAGCCGCCGTGTACTTATTTTGGGAGCTGACCTCAATGGGTGGGCAGCAAGCTCTGCCCAGTGCTCCATCCAGCCCTGCCCTATGAAAACCCCAATATTCCCCTTGTCCTTGGATATCGGGAAGGAATTCCTGGCTGGGAGGGTGGCAGGCCCTGGCACAGGGTGACAGAGCAGCTGTGGCTGCCCCTGGATCCCTGGCAGTGTCCCAGGCCAGGCTGGATGGGGTTTGGAGCAGCCTGGGATGGTGGAAGGTGTCCCTGCCCATGAGATTATTTTTACAATCCCTTCCAACCCAAACCATCCTGGGATTCCATGGTTTCAGGAGTCTGCAAACTCCCACTCCATGTCCCTTGGCTCCTGGCCACAAAAATCCCTTGGTCTGCAAGGTGTTTGCTGGGCAGAAAAATGATTTATCAGGCCTGTAATTTTCTACTGATGAAACACAATCTCACTCCATCTCTGACAAACAGGAGTTGCCCAAGCAAAGAAGTGCCTCAACAAACAAACTAACAAACAGTCACTATTTGCAGAGAAAAAGCTGAAAAGAGTCAAGCAGGTCTGCACTTGTTAAAGTCAACAGTGATCAACACAGATCCTGCTGTGCCTGGCTGTGGTGGCTCTGGATCCTTAAGGATGATGCAGCTCCCAGCTGCTTTACAAGGGACTTCTGCCATGATTATTTTCTTTTTCAGATGTTTAATACCATTTAAACCCTAATGTAAATCTAGCATTATTCACTGAAATAATATAGCTACATGTCCCGTGTTTACTTTGGATAGAAGAACTTTGGCTGCTTCTTCCAAAATGTAACTGAAAAATAATTATGTTTTTTCCTAGATTATTGCTTTCCTAGGACAGCAGGTGTGCAAAAAATCATGAGCACCCAGGAAAAAGTGCAAAGGGGACACTTCCCATTTCTTGGAACACAAAGCTGAGGGTACTGTGTGCCATCACCCAGCAGCAAGTTTGTAACTTGAGAAAGAAAAGGAATTATTTTTTTTCACACAACACATTCCTAAAGCCTCTAAGGACACTATGGAGACCAAATGAACACACGAGTTCCAAAGAGATGGGACAGAGTCCCAAAAGTCTGCAGATGGATGCAGCAACAGGCACAGCCTTTGCTGCAGGATCCTTGCCCAGAAACTGGGAGTGTGAAAGGAAACCTTACCCAATCCTCTCCTCCTTTCTCCTGGGTCTCTCCATGCTGGAGAGACCTGGGCTGTGACTCACTGCAGACGCTCCCGTGCTTTTATTTCATGGGGAAACTGAAGGCAGAGGCTGAAGGACTAACCCCTTTCTGAAGGAGTAACCCCTTTCTGAAGGAGTAACCCCTTTCTGAAGGAATAACCCATTTCTGTGTGAAGATGAGTGCTCACAGAGAGGTCAGGAAAGGATCAGCAAGGACAAGGCTCACTGGTGCCAATTCTCCTGTCATTTTCATGTGGAATACCCGACCTCGCACAGCCCCTGGCATTCAATCCACAGCTGGATCCTGCACATCCAGGGGCTCAGAAAGGGCATTTGAAGGAGGAGCTGGGGCAGATTTATCAATTGTGGAGCAGGCAGAGCCGTGTCCCCTGGCTGCCCCCTCCTCACGCTGCCTAGCCTCACTTTTTGCCCATGTGTTTTATATTGGCTCCGAATGTTCTGGGGAATCTCGCGGGCACAGAGGGGTCTGTGGCACACAGCAAGGACAGAGCTGTGCCCACACCGG